GCACACCAAACCAGTCAGTCCAAGACTAATCACATGGCCATTGGCTGCTAAAATATTCGCTGCTAGCATTATTGGAGAGCAATGGTGCCCCTGCATGTAAGTGAAATAAAGGCAACATGGTTATAGTAACCAGTCATTAGCAAGCGTTGTAGTTCGTTATTAATAATTATGTATAACAGGGTATTGTAAAACTTAAGCTATGAAATTTGTATTAAAACATTTCATACATACTGTTATATTGGCTGGACCCCATGCGGCCTCGGACCATGAGTTTGACATGCTTGCTCTGCAGTACATTCCCTCTTGCTCAGGCTATCACGTGGGATTTATTATCTGCTGCCAAAAGGACCTCGGTTATTACAGGTCTGGCATTGTAACTACAAGACACCAAATCTGATGGGGAATCCTCAGGATTACTTTTATTTGGGCTTATTTGGGTTCTCTTCCATCCTTCTCACATTCTCTCTCTCTTTTTTTAAAAATTTTTATTGATTTCAGAGAAAGAGATAAAAAGGTCAATATTGGGAGAGAATTATTGACTTAGCCTGCAACCTGAGCAAGTGCCCTGACTGGGAATGAAACCTTGACCTCTTGGTTCATAGGTCGATGACCAACCATTGAACCACACCATCTGGGCTCACATTCTCTTAAGAATTGGTATTCGGACTCTGCCTGTCGCCTGCCACCCCTTCAGAGGTGCCGACAACATCTGAGCAGCTCTCCCAAGAGCCCCCCAAGGGGCTCTGGTGACAGCCCTCAAGGTCGCCACCCCGTATTCCTTGAACGTGTGTCCCGAGGGGCAGAACATCACCCTCACCAGCAGAATCTCGGGCGTGGGCCCCGTGACCAAAGGGCACGACTCCACCTTCTACAAGACGTGGTACCGCAGCTCCCAGGGCGAGGTACAGGCCTGCTCCGAACGCCGGACCATCCGCAACCTCACGTTCCAGGACCTGCACCGGTGCCACCGTGCCCACCACGCCGCCAACTCCAGCCAGGACCTGGCCTGGCAACACGGGCTGGAATCGGTCTCCGACCACCAGGGCCACTCCTCCCTCACCGTGCTCCGCGTGACCCTCTACTGCTGCCTCGTGGAGGAGGCCAGGCACCACCACTCGGAGCAGAGGGGCCAGGGAGCTGCAAGTGCAGAGAGGCCCTGAAGCCCCACCAAGCGCATCACATACCCACACGCCCCCAGGGAGAGTGACAACAGCAGGGCTGCCGCCCCGGCTACGGGCGTCTGCACCGTGGGCACCCTCTGCCTTCCCCTCATCCTGCTCCTGGTCTACAAGCAGAGGCCAGTGGTCTCCAACCGCCGTGCCCAGGATCTGGTGCGGATGGACAGCGAATCCGCAATCATGGAATCGAAAACCCAGGCTCTGAGGCCTTCCCGCCCTTCCCAGGCATGTCAGAGCCCAAGCCCAGACCCCCACGGACCGCCATGGCCCAGCGGCGGCCGTCCGAGCCTGGGCGCCACCTGCTCTCTGCGCCCAGGCCCCGGGGACGTCTTCTTCCCATCCTCCACCCCGTCTCCGACTCCCCAAGCGCTGAGGCCATCTGGACCGGCGAGGGGCCGGTGAGCAGCTGTGGCTGGGCCTGGGGCCAGTGCATCTGGGCCAGACTGGCCTCTGAGTGTTCCCTTGGCCTGCGCCCTGGTTTCCTCCTTCCTGCTCCGAGCGCAGACGCTTTGAGATACCCCGATGGCCAGATCTGAAGCCCTCTGGATGCTACACGGCAGAAGTGAGAAGGTGGTGGGTCACTCAGCTCCTCTCTCAAGAATGGCGGGGTGCAGGGATCCCGCCGCAGGGACCTGAAATTCACCAGCTGCAGACGCCAAATGACCCACAAAAACAACCTGGGGGAAGGGGAGCGGTGAGCTTCCAGGGAGGTGAGGAGAGGCTGAGGCGCGGGCACTGTGCAGTCCTGGCCTTGGCTCTGCACCACGCAGCTCGCCGCACCCCCACAGGCCCGGCTCCAATCCAGCTGTTCTGTTGGAACCTCAGCTCAGCCTTTCAGACGAGGAAAGGCAGGCTGCCTGCCGCTGGGCCCTTTCCCGCCCTGTGCTGTGTGTGAACCTCCTGAATACCAGCCGGCACTGGCTCCCTCCTGGTCCCTAGCTCCGTGTGGCATGTGAGCAAACTGTCCTTTTCCCGGAAGTTCTGGGGAGAAAGTGGATGTGGAGCAGCGGACGCTGGAATTGCACCACTCCTCCAGGTCCATGGCACCCAGTGCCCCATCACCGTCCCCCGGAGAGCCGGAGGTGGGGGGACACCGGGGACGGGGAGCCGGAGATGGGAGGATACGGGGGACGGAGAGCCAGAGATGGAGCAGGACACCGGGGACCGGGAGCCGGAGGTGGGGGGACACCGGGGACGGAGGTGGGGGGGCACCGGGAGCGGGTGGGGTTCTCCCTTCCCGGGTGCTCTCTGCTGAGGGTTCATGTGACCTCGGTGAGGAGTGTGGGCGGTGGGTGACTCTGGGGGTACCTGAGGCCTCAGTCCTCTGCCTTCAGACCAGGTGTGTGTGTGTGAGTGTGAGTGTGAGTGTGTGTGTGAGTGTGTGTGTATCTGTGTGTGTATGTGTGTGAGTGTGTGTGATGCTCCTCATTGGGGGGCTGGGCGGGGGACCCCGCAGGAAACACACACACACACACACACACACACACACACACACACCCGCCTGGGCCGAGGGGAACCGCAGGCGCTTCAGAGCCAGGCCGATCGCCCCGGGGTGCGGGGCCGGGAGCGGCGGTTGGACCGGCCCTTGGAGGCGCCGCCCGACCCGGGCTCCGAGGCGGAGCGGAGAGCGGGAGGCGCGGGGGGAGGGAGAGGGGAGGGGGAGGAGGGAGGGAGGAGGAGAGAGAGGGGAGGGAGGATAGGGGAGGAGGAGGGAGAAGGGAGGGGGGAGGAGGGGCGGTGGGGAGAGCGGGAGGGGGAGAGAGGAGAAGGGAGGGGGAGGAGGGAGGGAGGAGGAGAGAGAGGGGAGGGAGGATAGGGGAGGAGGAGGGAGAAGGGAGGGGGGAGGAGGGGCGGTGGGGAGAGCGGGAGGGGGAGAGGGGAGAAGGGAGGGGGGAGAAGAGGGGGGCAGGGGCGGGGCTAGAAGGCGGCGGCGCGGGCGGAGGGGAGCCCGGGAGCCCGACCGGGTGGAGAGGAGGAGGAGGAGGAAGAGGAGGAGGAGCAGGAGGAGCTTCAGGAGCAGGGGCAGCAGGAGCAGCAGGGGGAGCAGGAGCAGCGGGAGCAGCAGGAGGAGAAGGGGGAGCACCCGTCTCCCGCCCCGCGCCGCCGGCCCTGGGCTGGCTCTGGGCCGCGGGGCCCGGCCTCGGAGGTAACGGCCGACTCCCCCGCACGGCCCCTCCTCCGCCCTCCCCCTCCCCCCGCGCCGGCCCCTCCGCTCCCCTCCCCTCCCTCTCCCCTCCCCCTCCCCACCCCTCCCCTCCCCCTCTCCCCGCTGGGCCCGCGTGTCCTCCCGCTGCAGCCTCCCGGGCCGGGGACACCTGGAGCCCCTGGAGGGCTGGGCCGGCGGCCCCGGTGCTCCCCCCCCCCCCCCGTGGCGATGGTGAACTCGGGGAGCGGACGCGGGCGGCGGGCGGCGGGCGGCGGGCGGCGGGGCCGCGGGGCCTGGCGCTCGGTAAACGGCCGGCCGGTCTCCCATGGGGCCGCGCTCGGGCTCCTGTGTGCCCTTCCTGACGTGCCTACTGAGGGATGGTCGCCTTCCCTGACCAGTCTTAGGTGGCGGGCCGCCGTCCTCACCTCCCAGCCATCTTTCATCCTTTACGTGTGGGTTGTGCAACTTACCTCTGAGTACAAAGCTGGACTATTTTTTATTATTATTGTTATTTATTTATTATTTTTAAAATATATATTATTGATTTTTCACAGAGAGGAAGAGAGAGGGATAGAGAGTCAGAAACATCGATGAGAGAGAATCATCAACCAGCTGCCTCTTGCACACCCCCGACTGGGGATGTGCCCGCAACCAAGGTACATGCCCTTGACCAGAATCAAACCCGGGACCTTTCAGTCCGCAGGCCGACGCGCTATCCACTGAGCCAAACCAGTCCCAGCAAAGCTGGAGTATTTTAAAGCAACTCCCTGCTGGGCTGGTGTGGCTCAATGGTTGAGCCTCGGCCCATGCACCGAGAGTCCCCTGTTGCGGGCTTGATCCCCAGGATGGGGGATGCTGGAGGCAACTGGTCTCTGTTTCTCTCTCATTGATGTTTCTATCTCTCCTCCCTTCCTCCCTCTCTCTAAAATCAATAAAAACATTTTTAAAAAAGTAAATACTTAAGTATATACTGTATCCCGTATCTAGGGGAGGTAAGTGTGGCCAGTGTGGCTCAGTTGGTGGGCATCCATTGGTGCACCAAAAGATGGCTGGTCTGTTCTGGTCAGGGAACTTGCCCAGGACCCCCAGTAGGGGGCGTTCAGGAGGCAGCCCGTTGATACTGGCTCTCTGGTCCCTGTTTCCCTCCCTCCCCCTGGGAGTGAGGTAGACGCTGCATTGCCTTTGTGATCTGCCCGTGGGAAATGCACCACTCCTGTTTTATTCTTGGTTAAAAGAGACCAGATCCCGCCCAGCTTTAGGGTAAGGCCCGGACCAGAGAAGGGTCTCTGAGAGTCGGTCAAGGTCACCGTGGGAGCAGGAGGTGCTGCCGTGGCCATCTTTAGAAAACACAGCCTGCCACGCGGAGAAAGGCAAATCACGTGGAAACTGTGTTTTTCCAGATCTTTCTGAGGTCTTGTTTACCTTCACAGTCAGAGAAATGACTTGTCAAATAAAAGCAAATACAGTTTGCCTGACTGTTTGAGATACAAGACGAGATGCTGAATGCATCTTAAGAAGAGAATTGAACTGATGAAAGAGGGAAACTCCAGATCTTGATGAGAATTCTACATTAAGATCCTCAGTAAACATGGACTATTCATTATGATCCTTGTTTTTGCTTTTCACAGCATCCCGTGACTGTGTTTGCTTAATCGGCCATCGGAGCCGCGACAAGCATGGAGGTCAGGCTGGAAGTTTTGACGTCAACCACCATCAAGCAGAAGAGGCCCTGGCCTCGCGTCTCCTGGCTGGGCCAGGTGGGTTTTTCTTTATTGTCCAGTCGTCATACGTGAGGAACGTGTGCTTTGCCTCTGAGGGTGAAGAATGGTCTGTGACATTTAAAAAATAAAATCCTTGAGTTGATCTATTATCTCCCCCAGATCCTCCTCCCCTCCCCACTGTAATTTGACAATCTGCTTGTTGCTTTACTGTCTCTATATCTATCCAAGGACTTGTATACATGCATATAAGTACAACCAATGGACATAAAACTCTGGGGAGGGAGGGGATGCATGGGAGGGAGGGGGCAAAAAAAATTTAAAAAAAAAAGTAAAAATAAATAAAATAAAATAAAATAAAATAAAAAATAAAATCCATCTTGCCAGGACCGGTTTGGTTCAATGGATAGAGCGTCAGCTTGGGGACTGAAGGGCCCCGGGTTCGATTCTGGTCAAGGGCATGTACCTTGGTTGTGGGCATATCCCCAGTGGGGGGTGTGCAAGAGGCAGCTGATCAATGACACTCTCTCATTGATGTTTCGAACTCTCTCTCTCCCTTCCACTCTGTACAAAAAATCAATAAAATATATATATTTTAAATAAATAAATAAATAAAATCAATCTTAAAGGATCACCTGCCCACAGGACAGGGTTTTGTGTTTGTGTTTTGTCTTTAATATAGTGAATAAGTTAGCTTTTCCAGAAAGTTAAATGGTCTATTAAGAAGAAATATTTTGTACTTTGAAAAACATTTTATTTTATTTTTTAAAAATATATTTTATTGATTTTTTACAGAGAGGAAGGGAGAGGGATAGAGAGTTAGAAACATCAATGAGAGAAAAACATCGATTCAGCTGCCTCCTGCACATTCCCTACTTGGGATGTGCTCGCAACCAAAGTACATGCCCTTGACTGAAATCGAACATGGGACCCTTCAGTCTGCAGGCCGACGCCCTATCCTCTGAGTCAAACTGGTTAGGGCTGAAGAACTTTTTTATAATATGTTTAAGAAGGTGGTGATGGCATATAGCAAAAGGGAATTTTTAATCTTCTGAACCTTTTCCTACTGGAACAGTCCATGGAGTATTTCCTCCCATTGTGGTTGTTATGTGTGTGCAAGGAGGTGCCCTCAGACCTGGGTGAAGATGGGTCACGGTGCACTAACAGTCCCGGACGCTCGTCACAATACATGGGATGAGGCCTCACGCAGGGAAAGTAGGCAAACCTAGATTTATCTATCACAGTTATTAAAATTAAGGAATTTGGTGGTCCCAGTCTGCGTGACTTAGTGGTTGAGCGTTGACCTATACACCAGGAGGTCACAGTTCAATTCCTGGTCAGGGCACGTGCCTGGGTTGCCAGCTCAATCCCCAGGTAGGGTGTGCAGGAGACAGCTGATGAGTGATTCTCATCATTGGTGTTTCTATCTCCCTTCCTCCCTAAAATCAACTTTTAAAAATTATATATAAAAAAGGAAATTTGGTGTGTCATTTCCTCTGAGAAATTACACCACTAACTTACCTTCTCTCGAACGTCACGGGGGCTCAGCATCTCTGGAGGGCTTGTTAAAACAAGGGCTGTGCTCATCCCCAAGGTGCTGGCTCAGTGGCCTTGGGGAGAAGAACATGCATTCCCTGCAGGGTCTCCGGTTGCTGGTGCCGCTGGGTAGGTGGTGCTTTGAAAGCCACTGCCCTGGAGTAATAATACAGGAAGGCAACGTTAACTCCAACCAGCAGCCTGTTCCTGGCAATAAAAAAGGACCAGCCAGGGTTGTAGAAGCCATCTCTCTCTTAATCTAAGTAAGTTATTTGAAAACTTGTCCATACTGGGGTTACACTGATGACCCAGTTTTGGCTAGCAGAACCGGAAGACACTCTTAAAATTTTAAACTGCAAAGTAATCTAAGTTGCATTAGTTAGGTCATTTTACCAAGTCATTTTAATGAGGAGTTTGAAGAGAGAGTGAAACAACTTTCAGTCTGCCTACTCAGCCTTCTGGTTCATTTTGTGATTCGTGGTACAAAGGTATGTGATCTTCCTTAAGTGTCACTTTGTGTTCTTGGCATAATTTGGGTAAGAGTTTGAATGAACTTCTGCCACCTCCTCAGCAGTCTCACGTGCTGCTTCTCTTAGGAAAAGGAAGCTGTTTTCCTTCTGGACGAGAACCTCATCAGTGAAATCAATTTGCTGTCGGGAAGGACGAAGAAGAAGATCCCTCGCCTGCAGCCTGTCCTGAGGCAGCTTGCTGTGCTCGCCACGTCCAGTAACGGTTAAGTAGGCCCGGTGTTCGCAAAGGGCGAAGCTGGGTGAAAGGTCTGACTACGCGGCAATCTCAGGGCGCCTCTATAAGTATTGCTTTTCCTTTTTGGAGACAGATGCCTGGCTGGCGGGGCTCCTTACTACTGGGGAGCTTTTCCTTTGGAACAAAGATCAAGATTGTTTGAAGACAATCCAAGCAACTGGAGAGCCTAAGGAAATGATTAAGGCTGCAGTAGGTGAGAGTGGGTTTAATTGGTTTAACTTGATAAACAGGAAGGGAGGATGAAACATTTGCCTACTGCTATTGTAAAATCTCTGTGTGTATACACGGAGTGGCCAGATTATTATGATCTCTGCATACATAATAATCTGGCCACTTAGTATATATACATTAGCGGCCTGGTGCATGTGTATATGGGTGGGATTCGGCCAGCCTGGCCAGGGGGAAGGGACATGGGCGGTTGGCTGGCCTGCCTGCTGGTTGAACTCCTGGTCGAGAGGACAATTTGCATATTAGCCTCTTATTATATCGGATATACACTGAGTGGCCAGATTATTATGTGTTTAGAGATCATAATAATCTGGCTATTCAGCATGTGTGTGTGTGTGTGTGTGTGTGTGTGTGTGTGTGTGTATCATAATAATCTGGCCACTCAGTGTGTGTGTGTACAATGTATATCTCTTTGCATTTTTTTTTTTTTTTTGTGTGTGTGTGTGGCATTTATTTGTGATGCTCAGATTCATCTTGGATGAATGTAGTCTGGTATGCCTAACATATCTGATAACAAAGGGTTCCTAATATCACGTAAGTATGTGATATATTGTTACTGTTATTTGTACTTTTAATTCATTCTGCTGCCTTAGCTTTCTATCCGTAAAGGTCACATTATCTGGTTCTTTGTCAGAATAAACTATTTAGCTTCTGGAGGGAATTCAGACTTCAAGGTTTAATAAGTTTTTTAACTTTTCTTTTAGCAAGCTCGCTGAGACTCTATTTGTATGTATCTGGAGATGGACAAAGAGTTCTGATTATAACTCCTTCTGGATGCATACTTCTTTGGGAATATTTGGAATGCAGGAATATCTTGTCTTCTAAAAGCCCGTCATTGATGGGCCAGTGGTCCCAGATCACACCTGAGGAAGCAGTGCATCTGCCTTCCGCGGAAGATAAAGAGGCTGTGGTGCATGCTGTCTTCATAAACAATGAGGTAAAAAACAAAACAAAACAAAAACAATGAGGTAAAATCCAGACCGGACGGGTCCTGGGGGGGAGCTCTTGGCCTCTGACAGCCACTGAGCTGGTGGGCGGAGTGGGCAGTGGCATTGCTGTAGATCGCTGGTTGTCATTGTCCCGGTGATGGTGAAATTATTGTGGAAAATATATCTTCATTATTTCTGGGTCACGTTCTTAGAAGTGTTTATATAAATGGTTTGAAATTACAGCTTCCTTTCTCTTTCCCTAGTCTTACTTTTCCCTAGTTTTAAAATATAGCTAGTTTTGTAATTTAAAAAGCTAGAATTGGTGATATTCAATAAGCCGTTTCATTCCCAGGAAATAATACCCTTACGAACTAAAAAACATTTTAAAAAGCAGCATGGACCTATCTTTTATTACCAGTCCACTGCTGTTATAACTTGCATTTTGAAGTTTTATTGTTTTCCTCTACCTCACCCACTTCCAGTGCCCTAATTTAAATAATACAGAACTATAGAAGAGAAAATTAGTATGTAAGTATCACTTTAGTAATAGCCCTAGTAAATGGCAGTGTTTACTTAAGAGTATAAACTGCATCTTGATTTCCCATTTGGGATAGACCTGTGGCTCAGAAATGACTTAGTCTTGGACTTAATGTCTAGAATAAATAGAAACAAGATCTCGATCTATTTCATCTGCACCGTGACCGATTGTCATGGATCATGTGCTGAAGTCTGTGCATTTATCCGCAGCTGCTGGGAGACTGCTGCTTGTGTGCCTTTGCCTTTTATTCGGGGGAGTGTCTGAGGTTGACATTTCTAGCGATTCGGTGGTGTGAAAGTGTGTTCCCGCCTGTGAGGTGAGGTAAATGTTCCCTTCTTTCTTCTCTTCCCGCCCTTTTAAGACACGGGTACCTTTGGCTTATAAATACGCAATCAGATCAGTAAATGAACGGTGACCTCTGAGACTTTACAGATCCTTCCTTCCATAAGCATTGCTTTAGTTTCCATTTAAAAATGTTTAATCGGTTATTGTGCTTCTGTTTTGTTTCCCTTCTTAGAAGTGAAAACACGTAAAAGATGAGGCAGGAAACAAGTGGCTTTACTTGTTTTAAGACAATAAAGAACTATTTTGGAAAGGAATTGTTACAGTAAAAGTGAAAAGGCACTTACTTGAATTTATTGTACTTTTTACATGCTGGAGAATTTTTTTTTTAATTATCTCACTTTTTATTTTTTTATTTTATTGATTTTTTACAGAGAGGAAGGGAGAGGGATAGAGAGTTAGAGACATCGATGAGAGAGAAACATCAATCAGCCGCCTCTTGCACACCCCCTACTGGGGATGTGCCCGCAACCACAGTACATGCTCTTGACCGGAATCGAACCTGGGACCCTTCAGGCCCTAGAGCTCAGGCCGACGCTCTATCCACCGAGCCAAACCGGCCTTGGCAGGAGAATATTTTTTTTTACTGAAATATGAAATTATTCTAAAAAGCCCATAAAATAGAATGCATTAAAAACACATCCTGGCTAACTAAGATTTATTAAAATAGTGTGATTTGAGGGAGGGTGTATTTTTTTTTCTGTTAATTTTCTTTATTTTTTATGCTAACAATAACTTACTAAGCTATAACTTATATAAAGTAAAACAAACAAGTCTAATGAATGTACATGCGTGTAACAGTCCTCATATCAAGCATAGAACACTACCCAGAAAACCCACTCTTCTCTATCAGTCCCTTTAAAAATGTTAGCTGTACTATAGAATGGGGTGGCTAAGCCATCAGTGAAGCAGACGTGTTTGGGGTGGGCTCCCAAGCATGCTGTTACTGACAGAACTCCGCGAGGAAGCTTGTCTTACTGGTGCCGGCTCTTCTGTCACTGGGACGGCTGCTAAGCGGTCCCTAATGTACGGCACCTGGAGGAATTTAGCTGGGCCCTTTAGCTCTTTGTAAGGAACTAGGTATTAATTTAGAAGATGTGATACTTCCTGTTTTCAATTCTTTCCTTACTTTCTTAGAACGTGGCCATACCGTGTCCATTGGGCACAGCAAGATTGCCTTCTGGGTAGTCTGAGTCCTGCGTGTGAGTCAGTCAAGTCGAGAGGAGCTCTGATCTCTGCCTTTTCAAGAGACGGCCTGACCCTGGCAGTGACCCTGAACCAGAGAGACCCGAAGGTCAGTAATGTGACCTGTCTGCAGTGGTCGATGGGACAGAGTTCAGTCCAAGTTTTATATGATTCCCGCCCCGGAGGTAATTCTTTAAATCAGTGTTTTCTGATCCAACTCAACCTTGTGGATTGGTGAAGTTATTTAAATTGGCTACCGGGCCCTGGCTGGTGTGGCTCCGATGGCTGAGTGCTGTCCGGCGCTCCGAAAGGTGGCCAGTTCAATTCCCGGTCAGGGCACATGCCCAGGTGTCTGGTCCGGTCCCTGGTCGGGGCAGGTACAGAAGGCAACCAGTCAAGATCCCTCGCTCACATCAAGTTTCTCTCTCTCCCTAAAATCAGTAAAAAAATTAAATGACCTGCCATCGTTTTCCATACTTGGTCTTCAAAAGCAAAAAGAGGTTGAGGGAAAAGGAAGAAAGAAAGGCAATGTTGTAACTGATGTTCTTAAAGTGTAGAATAAAAGAGAAGAGAGACATGGGTGGTCAGCACTGCTTGCCGTTGGGAAAGACACCTAGATAGTTGACTGATATAATAATAGATCTCTAGGTCTTCAGAATCATAAGTAATGATTCAAGTAAAATAAATTTAATGGTTTTATTGTCTTTTCTTAACTCTTTGTAGGCAACTCAGGTATTATTTGTCAACACACTGAATTTTGTTACTCTCTGTGGCAGCCTCAAAGGCTGTAGCAATAAGAACCCCATGGTTCCTGCTTCCCTTGTCAGGTAAGCATGCCTCTGTGTTGCTAAGTCGTGTTTTTGCTTTCTTTTCAACAGTTTGATACATTAAAGGCTCTGATGATTCAGTGGGTGTCTAAATGGATATTTTGATAGATAATGTAACTTTCAGCATCTGAGTGTGATGGATTCTGAAGATTGCATTATGTAAGGAAGGCCTAGCGTCTAAGGAAGGGCTGCCAGGGTGGGGGTAGTGAACATTTTTTCTCTTTATTTCTGGCTGCGATGTCCGAGGGGGAGCGGGAGCATGGCTGGCAGAAATACATTGGGCTTCCCTGGGGAGGCTGATCTGGAAGACAGTTGGCATTCTTCTTCACATGCGGGTCAATCGCAATCTACATGAGCTACATGTGAGACATGGCGTAGGGAGTTTCCTCTCGGGCCTCTGGATTTCCCTTTCTGAACACTTTGCCGTGCTGCTCTCTGATTTTCCGTTTTTAGACCAATCCAGCCTTGTCTCTTCATTTTGTCCCCCCTTAAAAGTTTCGTTCTGGAAGTGTCACTGGTCTCAGCTCAGCAGTGTTTGACTTGGGGCGTCCCTCATTTACATGAGCGACAGCTGCTCTAGTCTCCCGGAGACGTCACTGTTTCCAGCAGCTACGGAGGGGAAACGATGCCAGTCTGCGGCTGAGTGCATGGCGGGGGCTGACCTTCCCACCTGTCGGTAGATGTTGGTTGTGGACACCATTAGGGTTAAAAATTGTTGAGGTTAGCATGTGAGTGACTAAAAAGCTTAACTCTCAGGAAGTACTTTTAATTTATGATTGCTTGTGTATCTAAATTTCTGATGAGTATGTTGTATGGGGTAGATGTTTATGCATGAACTCTTTTTCTGAGATGTGAAATACACAAAATGTATGTGGCAGTTGTCTGCTCTCCATTCTTTAAAAAAAAATATTTTTATTGAGAGGAAAGGCGAGGGAGAGAGAGATAGAAACATCGATGATGAGAGAGAATCATTTACAAGCTGCCTCCTGCATGACCCCTACTGGGAATCGAGCCTGCAGCCCAGGCATGTGCTCTTGACTGGAACTGAACCTGGGACCCTTTCATTTGCAGGCCAATGCTCTATCCACTGAGCCACACAAGCTAGGACTGCTCTCCATTCTTTTGCCCCCCCCTTTAAAAAAAAAAAATATATATATTTTATTGATTTTTTTTTTTTTTACAGAGAGGAAGGGAGTGGAATAGAGAGTTAGAAAACATGGATCAGCTTCCTGCACCCCCTTCCCTACCCCTCCCCACACACACACAGGAGATGTGCCCGCAACCAAGATACATGCCCTTGACTGGAATCGAACCTGGGACCCTTCAGGCCGCAGGCCGACACTCTATGCACGGAGTCACACCTGTTTCGGCTGCCCCTGTTTTTTGAAGTGTTTCACCTCCGCTTGGCTGTTAAAATGGCCAAGCACGTTGTCTGGAATCCTTTCTGAACACACCGTCTGCTCCTTCTAGGTCCTACTGGGTAGGCGACATCAGCTGGACTCATGACAGCCTTTTTCTGGCCTGCATGCTGAAGCGTGGCTCCCTGGTCTTACTGACGTGCCAAGGTGAACTGCTCACGTTGAGCACGCGTGGCTGCTCGGTGGAATTCGGGCCAGCTGAGTTTATTCCCCTCCACCCGCTCATAACATACCGGTGAGACATTTCAGTGGTTTGACTTTGTTTACACGGTTTTCTCTTTTGTCATTCCTGTACTGTCTTGCTTTTATCATTTTAATTTTTAAATTGTCTTATTTTTTCTTTGAGTGTGGCATCTTGATATGTTTCTTATTTATAGTTTTTTTCTATTTCTTTTTGTGGCTTAATCCTGGTGAGAATTTGACATTGTGACTATGTAAGTATAAGTTATTTAAGGATTCACTAGCACTAAAATTTTTATTTTCTTTGGCATAAAAGTTAAAGTATGTCCTTTGCTTTATTGTTTTACATTTTATTTTTATTAAAAATTTTTTTTAATGTTGACAATATTGCAGGAGTCCCCCCTCCCTCCTTTGCTTCCCTCCACCATCCCCCATCAGTCCTCCCCTTGTGAGGTAAATTTATAACAATGTAACTTGACACATTTATATACTTTTTTTTCAATTGGAAAAAAATTGTTGGAAATAGATAGAAGACTTTAGAAGTTATCCACATGTAACTTTTTTTTTTTAATTGTGGTTCTTCTACTTATTCGTTGTGTGATTTTGGGTAAGTTATTCTTTGAGCCTCCGTTTCTTCTGCTGTGAAATGATAATTGGTCGAAGTGAAGGAAGGTAAAAAATTGGAAAGTTATTTGAAATTAATTCACTCCCCTTGCTTTACAGAGGAAGGGTGTGTTCTCGATTATATTTAACCAAAACTATTGCTTTATTTGTTTATGTATTTATTATTTTGTTAATCCTCACCCAAGGATAGTTTTTCCATTGATTTTTAGAAAGTGGAAGGGAGGAATGAAGGAGAGGAGAGAGGGAGAGAGAGAAAAGGAGAGCCAGAGAGTGAGAGAGAGAGAGTGAGACATCGATGTGAGAGAGACACTCATAATTATATCCTTACAAATATATTTAAGTATATGGTAAGAAGCAAAGTTAAATATTCAAATTTTTTCATATATTTTATTAATTTTTTTATAGAGAGGAGAGAGAGGGATAGAGAGCTAGAAACATCGATGAGAGAGAAACATCATCGATCTGCTGCCTCCTGAACACTCCCTACTGGGGATGTGCCCGCAACTAAGGTACATGCCCTTGCCTGGAATCGAACCTGGGACCCTTCAGTCTGCAGGTGGGCACTCTATTCACTGAGCCAAACCGGTTAGGGCTAAATATTTAACTTTTTAATGATAAAAATAAACTATTAATTCTTTTCTGAAACAGTTTGTATTTTGCTTTTAGAAACAAAATAATTACTACAATTAAGGGAAGATTAAAAAGCACATAAACCTGTTATAGCAATCTCTTATGTTTTCCGGGCAGATATTACACAGTAACAATTTTTGTGTTTCATTTGCTTGCGTTTTCGTCATTCTGTAACTGTCAGTGGCTGTTTTGCTGTTTCTTGGGAATAATGATTGTTTTCTGTAGGTTTTCTCTTACTGATCTCTGAATTGCGATGTTTGCCTGCTAGGCCACCGCAGGGCACATTTCCAGACTCGGCTCCTTCTGTGGACTCGGCCGCGTCGGCCAGCGACCCGATGCGGCAGAGGTTTTCCGTGAAGACCCACTCCCGGCTGCCCTACCTCGTCGCCTCTGACGGCTACATGGTCACCACCCTCCGCTTCCTCGATGGCCTGTCCCCCTCGGCGCTGCTGCGGGCGCTGCTGCTGGACGCCGCCCGGCGGCTGGAGAGGGCGTACCGCGGCCTGGCGCTGTCCGAGGTAGCGCCGGCCGAGGGGCCGGGCGTGGGCAGCGGGGCTGGCTTCTGCCCGGATGGGAATAATTAGAACTATTAGCGCTAATTCCAGAATATGTATATTTATTAATTTCTTTATTGATTAAGGTATCACATATTTGTCCTCAGCTCCCCATTCCAACCCCGCCCCCCACTCCTGCCACCACCCCCCTATTGTCCTTGACCACTGGTTATGCTCATGTGTGTGCACATAAGTCCTTTGGTTGATCTTTCCCTTTTATCCCCTCCCTCCCTCTGAGGTCCGACAGTCTGACCCATGGCTCCTCATCTCTGGGTCTGTTCTTGTTCCACAGTCTATGTTGTTCACCATTTCCCCTAGATGAGTGAGGTCATGTCCTACTGGAAATGTACTTATAAGAATATTTTTATCGCTCCTGTATGCCGGTGCCTGTAGCATGTGTAGCTCTGTAGGCGGGATGGAGGGTGAAGCTTTGCTCTTGGGAACCTTTTCTCCTGCAGCCCCGAGGCAGAGGGCTGAACCTGCGGTCTCTGGGCTCCCTGAGGTCCAGCCTGTTAAAGCGCCAAGGAAGCCAGCGGCCAGCGGACCCGCCCGTCCCCCGATTCCTGCAGGAAGAAGAGACGGGGAAGTCGCAGGAAAAGGCAGGTTGGCAGGTACTCGGCGGGAGGCTTTTCTCCCTTCCAGCAGTGACGTGTGGACCTTAGTCCCAGGAGAGTATCTGGTCTCTCCCTGGCGAAAGGGAAGAGAACTATGAGAACGCCGAGGGATCCTGCTCACAGAGAACTGAGCGGATTAAGCATCGTCTTTTCCACTCGTGTTTTAGGATTTTGAAGCAGAAGACCCCAACGAAAGCGCACACTTTCCAAACAACCTGCCCTCTCTTGGGGACAAAAACAAGGATCCATCGCTCAGGGGCGCCGAGGAGGGGAGCCTGGAGTTCGCGTCTATGTTCGACACGATGCGTGCGGGGGACCCCGCCTCGGAGGCGGACGGAATGGTCTCGGACCTGCGCTCGGTCCACAGAAACCTCCTGGCCGCCTGGACCGTGGGGGTTTCCAAACACGTGCCGGAGAAGAGCGTCATGCTGAATTACACAGTCGTTTGTTTTACCTACTTCCTCCACATCCTTCAGTTCATCAAGCGTCCTCTCCCCGCCCTGGGTCCCTCCTTAGGCAGGAGCCGCGGGCACCCCCCGTGGGTGCTCTGCGTCTTCCAGCTCCTCGGGCAGTGCCTGTGCGCCGCGCCCTGGGACCTGCGAGGCCGGCCGGCCGTGCGGCCGCTGCTGGCGCTCACGGCCCGCGCCCTGCAGCTCCTGCTGGCCCGGCCGCGGGGCCGCTGCTCCCGGAGGCTGGCCGCCTGCTTCCAGCTGCTCGGGATGGTGGCCGATCGCTTGGACGGCGCAGACCGCCTCCAGCCCGAGGTCTCGGCCGCGGCTGGTGGGAGTGGAGCAGCCCGTCAGGACTCCCTGGTGGTTCCCCTTTTCCAAACCTTTCAGGACGGCGCCTCCCGGGACGGCTGGCCTGGGAGCGCGCCTCTCAGGACCCGTCCTCCAGGAGCAAACCTCGGTCAGCAGGCAGGACGCAGGTATGACGGCTGCAATGTCCGGTACCACCAGCAGGTTAGATTTCTTCCTTTTTAAAAAACGGAGCTGTCGTCCCCATGCTGTACATCTCACCATTTTAAAGCTTACAGTTACGTGATTTTTTTTTTTTAGGATAGTCACAAGGTCATAGAACTATTAGCACTAATTCCAGAATATTTTTATCACGCATAAAAGAAACCTGTATCCATCAGCACTCAGCCTTATAGGATTGATTTTATCTGAGAGTATTTTAGCATTTATGCCAAATGCTATTCCACACGCACATTTCATTGTCATTAGTTTTGGACAGCCAGGTACCGTTGAGAGATTGTGGTTTAGGGAAGCACGAGGGGAACAGGACCACGGGAACATAAAGTGTTGGTGAAGATTTTAAAGATAGATTATGGTTTGGGTCAGTGGATTTTGTGCAGTAGTTAAATCCGATCCGTTCGTGTGTGTGTGTGTGTGTGTGTGTGTGTGTGTGTGTGTGTCGTTATGTCAGTGAGTGTGTGT